AATAGAAGTAGGTGGCTCACGCCTGTAATTCCAGAACTTTGGGAGGCCGAGGTGGGCGGATCACGAGGTCAAGAGATCCACACCATACTGGCCAACATGGTGACACCCCGTCTCTAGTAAAAATACAAAAAATTGGGCGAGGTGGCGCGCGCCTGTAATCCCAGCTACTCAGGAGGCTGAGGCAGGAGCATTGCTTGAACCCGGGAGGCGGAGGTTGCGGTGAGCCAAGATCGTGCCACTGCACTCCAGCCCGGGCGACAGAGCGAGACTCCGTCTCAAAAAAAAAAAAAAAAGAAAAAGAAAATAGAAGTAGGAAGAGGAAGTGGGTCCTAGTGAGAGAAGGAAGCAGCTCGTCGGAACTTCCTCTTTCTCGTCTTTCCCCGAAGCCCCCACCCCAGACCTGCCCCCGGCTCCGCTCAGCCCTACTGCCGGGCCAAAGCCGCGCTTCTGACGCGGGGGCCTAACCTCCCCTTACTCCTAGGGGGTCGCTGGTGCTCCGCGCTGGCGCCACGGCCGTGCACCGGCCAGGGTCTGCTTCCGCGGGCTGGCGGGTCAGAGCCGGGGCTGCATCTCAGACGCTTTGCGGACTCGGGGGCGTGACCCAGAGGATGCGGGGCCAGGCGCGTACCTGGCTGACGCGGCCCCGCCACCAGGTGGCTGGAGAGGCCGGCTCCGCGGTCAGCCCCGCCCCACAAGGCCCCGCCCCCTGACAGGCCCCGCCCCCCGCCCTCCGGAGTAGCTCAGGCTGGGCAGATGCTGCGGCTCGCCGCGCGGCTCCAGCTGGGGCGCGGTGGTCCCGAGGGTCACCCGAATCGTAGGGAGTCGCCGCTGGACAGGGGCTCGGCGCCCGGCAGGGACTGCAGGTGTGTGACTGGGCAGCCGGGGTGGGTGCGGAGGGCACGCGTGGGAGCTCCAGGCAGACCTGGAGCAAGCTGGGGACAGTCGGGGAGAGTAGGCTCCGCGAGCAGCCGCCGCAGCCCGGGGGCTGGACAGATCCTGCTGTCTTCCGGCCCCATGGACCGGGCCCACCGCGGGGGCAGCAGGTCTGCAAATCTGCACTCCAGATAGCCACAGAGACTTAAGGGGCGGCGCGCTGACCACTCATCGTTATCCGGGTAACCTCTGCTGGGCGCTTCTGTGCAGCTGTGTCCTCAGCCTCCTGCCTCCAACACAGGTCGCCCTGTGTTGTGGGGTCAGGGACCCTGTCCGCCCCTGTGGGGAACTGTCCGTGAGCGTGGGCGTCAGGGCTCCTGTGCCGTCAGAACCTGGGAGTCATGGAAATGCCCGCGTAAGGCGCCCTCCGTCGAGCCTCACTCAGCCTGCTAGTTAGCCCGCGTTGGCTCCAGACGCGGCTGCTGTCCTAGAGAACTGCACGCTTTCTGCTCTCAGAGGTTCTGTGTTTACACACTGGGCATCCCCGCGTGACTGTGTGTGTGTGTGCGTGCCTGCGCGTGTACGCGTGCTGGCCCATCCCGGCCTGGGGTAAATACACAAAAAGTTCAGGTCAGTAAGAGGAAGGAGATTGTTCAGAAGGAAAAGGAAGGCGAGATTAAAGCAGCAGGATGTGGTATAAAGTGAGTTAACAAGACTCCGAGTAGAGAGGAGGGGTGGGTTTAGGCAGAATGAGGGCTAAAAGTAGGCCAAGCCTGCCTCCAAAGTCCTCTCTGGACTGACACCCTCGTTTTCCTTCCGTGTCTTCTCATCCACCCCACACTTTCCTTCCTACCCTCAGGACCACCTCTAAGGCACTGGCTCCCAGAGCTGACTGCAGGTTGGACTCTCTTCCAAGCAGTCCTACAACATGGCTTTCCAGGGATGGGATCTGGAATCTGTATTTTTCGAAAATTTTAATGAGCTCCTTAAGTGGTGATGCTGAAGCCATTGCTTGGGAACCATGCATGATGTGGAAAAGAGATCCAAGTTCCAACCAGATCCAGCTGTGTGACCTGCAGCATCACACTGTCCCCCAACCCAGCCTCAGTCTCCTTATCTGTAAAATGGGCTCTCATATTGACCCATAGAGCTGTGTGGAATTATTATTATTATTATTGACATAGGGTCTTGCTCTGTCACTCAGGCTGGAGTGCAGTAGCATGATCATGGCTCACTGCAGCCTTAAACCCCCAGGCTCAAGCAATCCTCCACCTCCGCCTCCCAAGTAGCTGGGATTACAGGTCAGCACCACCATGCCCAGCTAATTTTTGTATTTTTTGTAGAGGCAGGGTTTTGCCATGTTGCCCAGGCTGGTTTCAAATTCCTTGAGCTCAAGCGATCCGTCTACCTTGGCCTTCCAAAGTGCTGGGATTATAGGCATGAGCCTCTGTGCCCAGCCCAGTGTGGAAAATTAAGTGAGGCATGTATGATGAGAATGGCTGCATGTGGGAGATGCTCTGTGGATGTTTGTAGAACGCTGGATTCCGTGTTTCCTCGGTATGGCTGCAGGGGTGTGGTCTTCACCAGGGGATCCATGGAAGACAAAGAAGACAGTTTTGGATGGTGGAGCTGTCTTCCTGCTTCAGGGCTCCCTCCCCTGCTTTTTGAAGCCTTACAAGCCAGGACTGTGGGGGCAGGAAGGCTTGGGGTCTTTGTGTGCTGAGCCTCACTGGGGTTTTAAGAACCTCCCTCCTTTCATTTCTAGCTTAGAAAAGGGATGATTCATTATCCTCCCTCCTCAGGCTGGAGTAGAAGCAGACAATCTCTGCCTCCCTGCTTGTCTTTCTTCCCTCCCATTCACTGTTTATTGTTGCCCTCAAGAATAACAGGTTGCCCAGCTACTTGGGAAGCTTAAGTGGGAGGATTGCTTGAGCCCCGGAGTTCAAGGCTGCAGTGAGCTATGATCGCTTCACTGCACTATAGCCTGGAAGACACAGAGAGACTCTGTCTCAAACAAACAAACAAAAAACAAGCAAACAAAAAAAGAAGAATAGGTTGGACGCTAGTGGCAGTGGGTGACAAGAGCATTAGGGGTTGATGTTGGCATGAGGATGAGAAGGCCGGGGTGCAAACTGCTCCATACCCCTGTGTTAGCCATCCATCAGGGGCCTGCTGGCTGAGGAGTGGGAGAGGAGGAGAGCCAGGAGCCTTTTTGCCTGGGTAGCCTAGAGTTTGGAAGCCCCAGCTTGGGTTCCGCTGAGCACTCAAGCTGTGCTGACTTGGCCTTTCTTCAAAGACGCTCATCCCAAGGGACTGAGCTGGCTGGCCCCGTGGGACCTCTGAGAACCAGAACACCTGTTTGGCCTCAGCTGGTGAGCTAAAAGCCTGAACCAATGTATTAAGAAAGAAAGCTGGCCAGGCGTCATCGTTCACACCTGTAATCCCAGCACTTTGGGAAGCCAAGGCTTTGAGGCCAGGAGTTCAAGGCTGCAGTGAGCTATGATCGTGTCACTGCATTCTAGCCTGGGCGATAGAGTGAGACCCTGTCTTTAAAAAAAAACAAAAAATAAAATTTAAAAAACAGAGAAAGCTCCTGGAAGAACAAGATAGAGTGATCCTTAGCAAGTCAAGGGAGAGGTGTTTAATTTGATTTTTGAGCCTCAGATATAGGTGGGGTGGGAGGAGAGAAAGGAAAGAGTACATCTGACTTCTGCCCAAAGGGAAGATGATACCTTCCCATAGCAAACATGTATTACATAGTAGGATATTTCATCAATTTGAAGATGTACATATTTTCACATTTTGGCAACACTGAAATCAAGGTGCATGTTACCGTTTATGGCATCTTCCAATTATAATAGGCAACACTATTTCTTCCTTATTGCCACACAAAATAATGGTGCATCTTACAATTGATGGCATCTTAGATTCTGTTAAATACAATGTATTTTTCACAGATTTGGGGGTATGTGTTAGCGATACACAGGTTCACATAGAATTATGTTGTTCTCATAGCTTTCATACATAAATTTTTCTAGTAGCTCTCTACTCAAAGTATCAGAACTTTTCAACGTATTCTGTTTTAAAATATATCTTTGTAAAGTATGTTGCTTTCATTTATAAATGTGGCTTGTCGGATATGATTGAATAATTTCTTGAAATTTTCATCAAATGGTTCTGGACGGCCATTCTCTTTTGTACCCTGTGTCTTTTTGTACATTCGTGCTTCTTTCTCTTTCATCCTTCTCCTCGTCCTTTTCTCCTTTGGCTATGACTTCATGGTGTTGGGTACTGTGCTAAGTATGTCATGTCCTTTCATCTTCACAGTCACACTCTGAGGTAGCTACAATTATTGCCCCCATTTTACCTATGAGAAAACCGAGGACCAAGGCCACACACGTAGGAGGTGCCGGAGCTGGGCTGACTCTAGCGTCTGCTCTTAACCAGAGTTGGCCAAGCCTAAGTGATGGCTTAGGTGTTCCTGTGGGTGTCAAGCACGTACCCTATACAACACAGTTTTGGGGGCATGAATTGTGGCCACCAGATGCTTTTGTTTGTTTGCTTACTTCTAGGATAGTAGCTAGATTTTAGATAGTTGAGGTTATTGGTTAAGTGACTTCCAAATAAGTGAGTCACAGCTATAAGAAGTTACACCCAAAAGGGGGTTGGAGGCTGATGAATGGGAAGAAATGGATGACTTTCATGGCACAGAGAAGATCCTGGGTCCTTCTTGAGTCTTCTGAGTCTATCCAGTGGTATGCTAGACTTCGGGTCCTAGAGTTTGGCATCCATGGGAGACGGCTGCTTCCATGGGAGCTTCTCTCATGCTGCCATGATGATGTAAGATAACACATCTGCGTGAGTCACTTTTCTTTTTTATTTCTTTATTATTATTATTTTTTAGACAGAGTTTTGCTCTTGTCACCCAGGCTGGAGTGCAGTGGCGTGATCTCGGCTCACTACAACCTCCGCCTCCTGGCTTCAAGCGATTCTCCTGCCGCAGCCTCCCGAGTAGCTGGAGTTACAGGCGCCCGCCACCACGCCCAGCTAATTTTTGTATTTTTAGTAGAGATGAGGTTTCGCCATGTTGGCCAGGCTGGTCTCGAACTCCTGACCTCAGGTGATCTGCCCACCTTTGCCTCCCAAAGTGCTGGGATTACAGGCGTGAGCCACCGCACCCAGCCTGCGTGTGTCACTCTTCAGCTGAAAACGCTGCAGAGCTGCATGACTTTCCAGAGATGGTTCACACCCACCACCCATCCCAGGTCCACCCCTCCTGCTTCCTCTCTGGTAGCCTGAGCAGATCTCTGCACCTTTGTGTGTGCTGTTGCTTCTCCCCAGATTGCCCTTCCCCGCCTCTGCCTGCCTGGTGAACTGCCAGTTCCTCCTACAAGCTCAGCTCAAGCCTCATCTTCTGATGCTCTTCCTTTGCCCCTCAGCACTAACCATCTCCTCCTTCATTGTGCTTTCTATGTTTTCGCACCATAGGGCTGACCACCCAGGCCTACAGGGCGACCAGTGACCCGGCACAGCTATGGCCTGCTCACCCTAGCCACCTGATGTTCAGCATGGCATCAAGCTGTCATCCTGAAACTCCCTGGGATCTCATAGGCAAGGTGCCCAGGCACAGCAACGGCAGAAGTTGCCAGATCACAGGATGGGGTGGGGGGCTGGGGGTGGGGCCCGGAGGGAGTGGTGTGCTTTTCATTTTCATGTCCTCGGGAGTCTTGTTGTTGTTGACCTAGGCAAATGAGCTTGTGTGGTTTCCTTGTTAGGGGGCAGGGCTGGGGTGTGAAGGCTGAAGGTGGCCTCACATGGAGCCAGGGGGCCCAGTTTCTGCCTAGCTCCCCCACTCCTAGCCACGTGATCTTTGCTAAGTCCATCTACCTCTCTGCGTGTCTGTTTCCCCATCTGTAGGATGGAAATCTGGCACTCAGTACTTTATGTGGCCCCTGCCTAATCGCTAACATTTCACTTGTTCATTCAACACTTCTGCATGGAGGACACCTTCTGTGTGCCAGGCATGTGCCAGGCTCTGAGGATGCTGAGCAAGACAGGCAATGATCCTGCCCCGTGGAACTCACAGTTTCATGGACAAGATATGCAACACACATATTGTTTAATTACAACTGTGAGAATTATGGGATACTCTGAGATTATGGAAAGGGAACTCAATATAGTTGAGGGGTTAAGCAAAGGTTTCTCTGAAGAAGTCATATTTGAGTTGAGACTTGAAAGATATAACATAAAAGAAAATAATAACAATAATGCCTACCAATTAGGAAATACTTGCTAAGGGCTCTTTGGGTGCATTATCTCTGGCATTCTTTTCAACACCTGGTGTGTGGGGTATGTGGGCTCCCTCTCCTGTAAGGATCAGGTGATAGCACTACTGGCAAGCACCCTTCTCGGTTTCTGACACAGACCAGGGACTCATCCCCACCTTCCTCACCCCTCCCGGTATTCCAAGGTCCAGCTTATGGATGCTGAGGTCATAAATACTAATGTGCGGGCTCTCTTCTCCCTTCCACTGACACAGATAGCATGTCCCGCTCAGGAGCCCTCTGCATTTGTGCATCTCCGTCAACAGCTCAGGGAGTTGAGTCCCCATCCACAGAAAACTCCATCATGTTGATTGCCGGGCCTTGGTTCTGTCCCTCTTAGGAGCCGCTGTCCTGGGAGGGTTCAGAAACTCTGATCCGGATGGTCTGTCTCATCTAGGAAGTCCCTTGTCCAGCTTCCATATCCTTCTTCCACGAAAGCTGTCTCCCCAGAACCATGGAGTGTGTGCAGATGTATCACTGGGTTTTTGGTCTGAGTATTTGTTCCTGCATGGCTTGGTGGTTTGGCTCTTGTCAGGCAAATCTCCATGCAGCCACTTCCACTCAACCTGGCCGAGCCAGCCAGCCTCCTGCGGGAGGGTTCTGCAACAACCAGATCGCATCTACACTGACAGCTCTTCGAGGGGAGTCTCAAACTCTCTCTAGATAGGGGGCCCCTTTGAAAAACTGATGAAAGCGATAGATCATCTCCTCTCTCGTCACCCATAAGCACATATGTACATGAGAATGCATTTGTACGTGTGCACGCACACACGCAGTCTCTCTCTCTCTCTCTCAAAGTTTTGCATAGAATTCTAAGGTCTTCTTGGATCTCTGCAGTTCACCGAGGGATTCAGGTTAATAACCCCTGTTCTAGAAAACATGACTTTCTCTATGCTGATTTCTTTGGATTATCCCCAGCACAGCTCCCTGTGGGAGGAAGCTGCTGTCAGAAGGAAGCTGGGGATGGTGATGAATAATGAAAACTGTACAGAGGACGCCGGTAGCGACTCACTGGTGAGAACCCAGAAGTGACATGCTGGGGGCCGGCTCCTGACTGTACACTGGGCCACCGCTGTGCTGTTGGATTTCTCACCAAGTTTTGAATTCAGCCCATTTTCAAGATGATTAAAGAGTGAGAGAGAAGGCCGGGCATGGTGGCTCACACCTGTAATCCCACCACTTTCTGTGAACGAGGCGGGTGGATCACCTGAAGTCAGGAGTTCGAGACCAGCCTGACCAACATGGAGAAACCTCATCTCTACTAAAAATACAAAAATTAGGCCGGGCGCGGTGGCTCACGCCTGTAATCCCAACACTTTGGGAGGCCGAGGCAGGTGGATCATGAGGTCAGGAGATCGACACCATCCTGGTTAACACGGTGAAACCCTGTCTCTACTAAAAATACAAAAAATGAGCCTAGCATGGTGGTGGGTGCCTGTAGTCCCAACTACTCAGGAGGCTGAGGCAGGAGAATGGCGTGAACCTGCGAGGCAGAGCTTGCAGTGAACCAAGATTGCACCCGTGCACTCCAACCTGGGTGACAGAGTGAGACTCCATCTCAAAAAAAAAAAAAAAAAAAAAAAATTAGCCAGGCATGGTGGCACATGCCTGTAATCCCAGCTACTTGGGAGGCTGAGGCAGGAGAATCATTTGAACCCGGGAGGCGGAGGCTGCGGTGAGCCAAGATCGCACCATTGCACTCCAGCCTAAGTAACAAGAGGGAAACTTCATCTCAGAACAACAGTAACAAAAAAAAAAGAGAGAGAGAGAGAGAAAGAGAAAGAAAAGTTGTCTGTGGCCATACACATGAAAATAAACAGTCTACAGATCAGAGAGGCAGGCATGGCTGTTTCTTTGCCACAAAAGTCTGCAACCTCCCGAGTTCCCAGGCACTGGCATGAGCTTGGGGCTTTGTTTCTCTGATGTGGTCGTAGTTCTTTAGAACCAGTGCCTTGATGTAAAGCGCCATGTGTGAAGGATGTTTTCTTCAGTTCCTCTTTTCTAAGGATTTTTAAAAGCATGAATGGTTGTTACGTTTGTCCAATACTTTTTTAAAGCATCTACAAGGAAACGCTTATATTCTTTCACTTTGTGATAGATTTATGTGACACATTAGGTCATGAACTTCCACGTATTGAACCCTTTGCATTTCTGGAATAAACTCGATTGGGTCAAGGTACTTTATTCTTTCAGTACTGTGCTAGGTTTGATTTGCTGTGATTTTCTTTAGGAATTTTTTTTTTTTTTTTTTTTTGAGACAGTCTCACTCTGGAGTGCAGTGGTGCGAACCTCCACCTGCCAGGTTCAAACAATTCTCGTGCCTCAACCTCTGAGTAGCTGGGATTACAGGCATCCACTACCACACCGGCTAATTTTTGTATTTTTAGTAGAGACGGGGATTCACCATGTTGGTCAGGCTGCTCTTGAACTCCTGGCCTCAAGTGATCCACCCGCCTTGGCCTCCCAAACAAAGTGCTGGGATTATAGGAGTGAGCCACCGCATCCCGCCTTTCTTTAGGATTTTTGCATTAAATGAATTTGGCCTCCATTTTCCTTTTCTGTGCTGCTGTTGTCAGTTTTTGATATGCCGACTTTGCAAACGACTTTGGAAGCATGTTACCTTCTCCCGCGCCCAGTGACAGCTTATAGAGTGGGGAATGAGCTGCTCCTTGGAAGCTGAGAGAACGGCTCTGGTCTTGAGGTCTTCCACTGTGGGATTCTTGGCTTCCCACTCCCCAAACTTCCTTCTCTTCTCTCTTCCTCAATCCTCCCAGGTACACACCTGTAAACCTCAGTGCTCCCAGGCTCATGCCCAGGAGCCATCTTTGATTCTTGGCTTCTGATGTTCAGCCACTAGGTCCCATGGGTCCTTACTTTATATGCCTTTCAGCTTACAAAAATGCCTATTTCTACACGGAACTGGGCAGATCCACATTGAGTGCATTCCAGGTGCTGCATTTGGAGGATGCTGATCAGCCACTTCATACTCAGAGAAAGGTAACCAAGATGGCGATGACAGAATATGAAGTAATTAAGAAGTAGAGAGGTTTTTCTCCAAGAAAAGACAGAGGAGAAGTAGTATCTGTCTTCAGATGTTTGATGAGCAGTGTCCTTTGAAAAAGGTGAAGACGCCTCACCTGGGGGTCATTCTCCAGGATGGAAAAGGGATAATGGAAGAAAAATTGTCAGAAAATAGACTCTAGCTCACTAGAAGGAAGATCTTAGAGAAACTCAGAGCAGATCAACAATGGAATGGGAGGCTTTGTGGTGGTGAGTTTACCGTTGGGGAAAGTATGCAGGGAAAATACGTGTTATATATTATAGAAATGATAGCCGTGGGAAAGGAGACCAATAGAGCTCATTTTTAAAGAGCCTGTAGTTCTCTAAATCATGGTGGCCATGTCTGACTGGTTGTGTAAACACTGGTTGTTCTGAGAACATAATTCGAGTTTAAGTAGTTCAGTGACCTTGAATAAATACGTCCCATAGCTGGGCAGTTTGCTCAGAAATCCCACAGCCCTGCTTCACAGCCCATTCCCCGGAGCAGAAGCACCTTGGCTGTTAGAAAACCATAGCCATTCATGGACACTGGGATCCTCGCCCACATCCTCTGCTGGGAGCATGGGTTTTTCTTGGAGTCTCTTGTTCTTGGCTCCTTCAGATACCTGGTAAAATAAACTAATTGAACCCAATTTCAAAATCGCCTTCCTCTGTCAGTGTCCCAGATAAGATCATGGGGCCAACGTATCTCACCTCCAGTTTGAGCTAGGAATTAATGTCCTCTTGTTCTTGGGGTTTTCAAGTCAACGTTTCATAGGTCTTTGCACCATGCATTCACTTCTGTACCATGTTGAGAGTTTCATTTTGAGAAAACAAAAAGCTCTGTGTTCTCTTTGGCCTGTTACTGTGCTTAAGAGAACACAGGGGGCTGTGATGTGATGTACGGGCTACAGGATGGGAATAGAAGGTCTAATCTCTAGTCCTGGTCCCTAATTACCTCCTCGTCTTGCTCAGTCTGTTTCCTCCTGGACCAGTTGGACTCTATGATTCTGACCTCCTGTGAGTTTTCAAAGCCTGCTCTCCAAGAGTTGTCTTGTGGGAGCTGCTCTCATGGGCTGAGCAGAGAGGGGACCTGCTCCTTCCCTCATGGTGCCACCTTACGACAGGACCCCCAGTGACTATGAGTCCCTCTTCAGACCCCAATGGCAGAAACCCACCCTCCAGCCCGTGATCCTGCTGGAAGGCTTCCTTTCAGGTCACTGGTGGTTCTGGAATGAAAAGTTCCAATAGTC